AGGAACAATGTCATGTCAGCCTTGAGTAGTATTCAACACTATGGAGTTGTGTATTTAAAAGTTCCCTCCAAAATAATTTAAGGACATATTTCCTCCCCTCATTCAAAATGTAAAAAAGGTATATTGAAGTTTTAATTTATTTTGCATTAATTTGGGGGCATCTGGGGAAAATGCCGATATTTTGTTGCAGTTTCCGAAAATTCGCCCAAAATATTTTTTACTTGAGACAGAACCTACCTTAAAACAGATGGCCAGACTATATAATAGACATTCTGCTAAGGATTTCAGAACTAATAATGGATTGCAAAGTGATGTCATCATTTATAGTCACTAAACTCAATATATGTATAGGATGTGATAATCGCAAATGAGAGAAAGATATCCTCTGTAACACTTTTATACAGTTTTAATGCATTTCCACCCCCCCCATAAATATGTGTATTCCATACCCAAAAAATTCCTCCTCCATGTGATTGGTGCGTTCAAGATCATTCACTGATTGGTAGTTACCGGTGCTTAAAGTTCTTTAACTTTTTGCGGAGAATTTCAGTGGTATCTCACCACAGAATTAGATAAGTGCAAGGGCTTGTATTATTATTATTATTCCTTTGGGTTTCAAGTGAAACACAGGGCTTCCATTTTAGCTGAGTCCACGATTGCCAATAAGCTGTTGTCTTCATCTTACACGATCTCTTCCATGTTACTGTCAGACACTGGCCTGACTCGTTGTTTTCATCCAGGTGCTGGCCTAGTGCTCAATGTCACTTGACGATCCCCCCAAGGGTGTGTTCGATCCATCCGCATTTTCTTCGGTTAGTAGTATACTTCACACAAATGCCGACTGCGGAAAATGCTGATGATACAGTGTTGTGTAGATAAACAAACCGATTCTTCTGATATGCTGCTTTTTAGGTGATTCAACTAATTCAAAGGGAGGATCGTTTCAACTACAGGCAGGCGGAACTGATGAGGATGTCAAAGCAGCGAGGATCGGGAGAAAAAGGTGAGCTTTCATCACTCTCACGAAGTTTGTGTGGAGGTCAAAAGCACTCCTCGGCATAAAAAATAAGATCCGGATTTTCAACTCCAATGTGAAGTCAGTGATACTCACTATACGAATCGGAGACTTAGCACCGCGTCACGAAGGACACTTCGAACAAACTACACAATTTCATCAACAGCTATCTTCGCTCAATACTACTCAAGATCAGATGGCCGGTCAGAATAAATCAGCAACAGGGAGGAATCTCTGGCAGCATGAACCGATTGTGCAACATATGTGCGTCGGTGGCACAGTGGTTAAGACTCTCGCCGACCATGCACATGGTTCGGTGTTCGAGCCCACACCGACGCATACCTGATATCTATGGTCAGCCTGCGAAATTTGGGCTACCGATATCCACGCTGAAAATTCCACACACGTACCAAAAATACAGTGTGGAATCAAGCTGTAATCAAAAATAAAAATAAATAAATAAATGGAGGCAGGTGGATTGGAGGTCATACTCTGAGAAAACAAACCACCATCAAGTGAGTGACATCACACACGGCAGGCCACGGCTAGAGTAGAACCCGAATGGGAAGCGGTGAGTTGGTCGTCAGTGAAAGGGTGACACAGAGAACGAAAAGAGGAGATGAAAGCATTATGGCACACGTGGAGACAGGTGATGGAAATGTTGGCAGAGAACCAAACGCAATAGAGACTTGCGCGGCTGAAACCTTATGTTCCCCTATAGGAACTAAAGGAAACAATAATAATAACTAATTCCAAGACAGATTTTATCACAAATCGTTATCAATCAGAGAATCTTTGAGAAGCCAGGAGTAATGGACAGTTGTTTCGTCCTAGTTTGAAACACTTTAGTACAATACGCGTCCCATCCATCCATCGAACCCAAGACCTTTACTTACGAAGAAATAATCTAATTAGCAGTATAAAGCATTACTGCCAGCTAAGGTTATTGGAGAGCATATGTCCTTAAAATTGACCCTGTAGACTCCACCATTCACTACTTTCCGCTGCTAATGAGAAGAGGCAATGACTCTACACATTGTAGTGACAGGAATTATAATTCACTGGACAATGCATTCCATTCTAGCGATGATACCCTAAGATCCCAGGTTGGATGAGTGGTGAGAATATGTCTAGCTGTTGAAGAAACCCAGATTTGGTCAAAACAACTGTTCAGTACTCTCGGGTTTTCAATGTTTCTCTAAATGGTGTCAGTTTATGACAAAACTGCATCTAAAATGGGTTGAATCCTCAAAAACTAATGATTGAAAATGCGGAAGGATGGACGGTTTCAACTACAGACAGTCGGAACGGATGAATATGTGAAAGCCAGCCAGCCAGAATCAGAGAGGCAAGATGCGCCTTCATCACATACAAACCGGTTCGGAAATCTTCTTCATTCACATATAAATCACAAGATTTGGATACTGTTCAGCAAAATTGTGAAGTCAGTCAGTCAATTCTTCTATACGAGCCAGACACTTGCAATATGCGTGAGTCGCAATAAAGATTCACGACAAGTTACAGACATGTATCAACAGCTACCCACATCGCTCGCTGGCTCCATACTCAAGATCATACGGCCTACCAGACAACCGGCCAGAAAGAATTAGCAAGGAGGAACTTAGGCTGAGAACAAACCGACAGGCAATAGACGATTGCTCAACAAATATGTAGGGAAAATGCAGACGAACTGGACATACGCCACTGAAGATGTCATCGAATGACATCGTACGTTAGCCAGACCATAACTCGAGTGGAGTCCGACAAGGGGTTCGTCGATGCTAGGGTGACATGGAGGATGTTATGTGTTGAGGAGGGGGAGAAGATGAGAGACTGTGGGCAATCGGGGAGCTAGCCGCCAGCTGAACAAACTGGAGATATGTTGCTAAAGCTCAAGGAGAGAATAATACTAATAACAATGACTGAAAAGTGCTTCAGCTGTGCGTGTTACGCGTATCAGAGGAAGGCTACATTCAGCCTATTTTACCAACTTTTTCTGCATACACTTGGAATATTTATTGTTGAGTTTGGTATATTCATATGAACTGTGATCAAGATTTGATCGGATAGTTGCAAAATAATTGAGCGCCGAGTGAGAAGTAGACATTTGTAAAAAAAATTATATATATTTGTAAAATCTCAGCGAAAGTGAAATGATTAATTCCAACGTGTTCTGTGTTCGGAAATCTGGTCCGAACTTAAAAACAAGAGATATTCTTTTATATATAAACATACTAATTTTGTTTACTAATTTTGAAAGTCTGAGGTCGAATTCTGATCACAGTTCATACAATTTTCTGTTTATCATACATGTTGATGCCTGTTTCATGGCTCATGATTGGACAAAGTTTCAAAAACAAGAGATGTCCCCCTTTTATATATAAACCTCTGTTATGTTAATTTCGATTAATTTCCCTGAAGAAGTTCGGACCAGATTGCCGAACGAAATGTTGGAATTACTCATTTCAATATCGCTGAGATTTTACAAATATAATTTTTAACAAATGTCTACTTCTCACTCGGCGCCCAAATGTTTTAGAACTATTCTGTCAAATTTTGACGACAGTTCACTTGAATTATTTTGCAACCGAATTAAATTAACAAAGAAACTATGCTAATTGGCACAATCATCGTGTTTACACTCTCCGTTGTCTGCAACAGAATAATGCGTATCCTAAATCCGTAGCTGTCTAGTCACCTTGAGACAACTCCAGTAGGTCGAATAAAGCAGCACAATATTCAGAAAGAAGACAAAGTAATAAATTCGACAGGGTGCTTCAACTAAACTCTAATCCTAAACACCATAATTTTGAAAATACGTCTAATCATAAAATTCTAGATACTAACAGTTTGAACAGACATGAAGGTGTGAACTTGTTAATAATAATAAAAGGATATGTATCACTAATTAATGATACTTTGTCAAAATTCTTAACTGTCTATATCTTCTTATGGAGACGTTGTGAAATGTTTTATGACTTATGATTGGACAAAGTTTTTAAAAAACAAAAGGTGTTCCTTTTGCATATATACTTTACTTTACTTTTACTTTACTTCGGCTATCTCCTACGGGAGGATGAGCCGGCTTCATGAACAGAGTTCATGAAGTTTCTTGGGAATTAGGTACGAGTGATGTCCCCAGAATCGCTCGGCCTTTTGTTTGAGAGTGCAGCTCTAGCCTTTACACAACCAAGTGTGACCTACAAGGCAGTAGGAGTGGAGTAGGGAGTCCACTATCCATTGTCAGCCGGTGATCGGAGTTCGGTTCATACGCCTTTTTGAATGGGGCCAGACATCCAGGACATCCAACAAGCCCTTTGTCCATACGTCTGCCGGTGAGCTCCAGTGAGCTTCATACGCCAATTGTTGCAGGTTTGGAATCGGGGTTTAGCCATCTCCCCTAGACTGTCATCCAATGGACAGTCAACCCGGTGGAGAGCGCCAGGCATCCGCTTTCGCCCTCTCACTTTGGTGAGAAACACCTCCGCCACGTGAAGGCAGTGAGTAGGACTTCCTCAGGAGAGGCTATGTAAGACGCCCGGTCATATGGGAGCATTTCAAGAGGTGTGCGGAGGGGTGGCCAACCCGCAGCGCAAGGCACCCACCCCCGACCATCCTGAGGCTTTGGAGGCTTTTGCATATATATATTTTGCATATATATAAACCTCTGTTATGTTAATTTCGATTAATCTCCCTGAAGAAGTTCAGAACAGATTGCCGAACGTAGGAAACATTGGAATTAATCATTTCAATATCGCTAAGATTTTACAAATATAATTTTATGAAGGAGTTTTCGGTATATAATAATATTGCGCGAGTATACCTATCCCTATTACACATATCCACTTTTCAATTGAGCGCACATTTTTAGTCAGACATTTTCAATGTCAGAGAGAGAGAGAATTAAACAAATTCAAATATAAAAAATTGATTTTATACAAAGCAATATTTACAACAACAAAAAAAATGGAAGTAAATCAAAGGAGACGAAATCAACAAGAAGAAAATAAAATCAATATTATGCTCTGTTTTGTTTCTAGTGCGATGAGAAGCTTTTTTCGAAAGCAGTCAGTCATGCTGACAATGCCTTTCTCTTCTCAATTGTTAGAGGTAATAATCAACTTGGACACAGGACTCTGTAGTCTTGGAGACGACTTTTTATTATTCTCTTTATTGACTCATGATTGTAAGATCCAATGATTGATGCTTCCTGAATAATTCTTGTAATTGATTAGTATCCAAGCGGGTACATGATATTCCATTGACTTGTACAATTTCATCACCAATAGAAATTCGATTATTGATTGAGCTTTCTTCTTGATTAAATCGATCTGATAGACGTGTAACAATATAACCTGTACAAAAAAAACAATAAGAACAAAGTACAGTGAAATATATGAGAGTGTTCAAAAATCCCAGAGTAGTACATTATAGTTAGAGAACCAATGGAAACAAGGGAGTTCTGGAGAGTTGTTTTGTCCCAATTAGTGACTCATCAACAGTACGCATCCATTTGGGCTACAGGACGAAGTTACTTGAAGTTCTAGCAGGAAGCTGTGGCCAGTGACGACGTCATCTGATGCCAGTCGCGCCAAAATCACGAATTGGTGCAGGGGGAGGGGGTTAGAATTCATGCACTAGCCATCAAGTCGGATTCTAATTGACTTTGGTTCGAACCCCGATGGGCCAAGTTCATGAGTAGATTACCTAGAACAATTCAGTAACATGTGTAGTTCCTGATATGTAGAGCAAAAATCTGTCGTTTGGAACTTCTGGGCATATTAATATTCCTTATTCCTTCATGTTACAAGTCAAACGGAGGGGCTTCAAGCTTCAGCTTTGCGGCTTCAGGAGACGTGATGTTTGCTCTTTAGGGTGGGTGGGATAGCTAACCGCAAGCACAACCTTCCCTCTTCACCAGGCCAATTTATCAACTAAGCGATTTATACGACTTTGCCAAGCAGGAAGGGGTCGAACTCTGAACCACGTGTATGGTTGGGTACCACTGAATCACTGATGAATATCAACGAAGGTTTATAGGATTTTAAGAGTCCTAAGGAGTGTATCCACAGCGGGAAACTTACGGAAGCCTTCGAAGTGAGGACGGGAGTGCGACAAGGCTGTCTACTATCACCAATGATCTTCCTGATTGCAATCGATTGGATAATGCGACAGACAACGGCAACCAACGAGGGAACAGGCATAAAATGGACTGACACAAAAGACTTGGAGGATCTGGATTTCGCCGATGATATGTGTCTGATTTCCCACAAACTGGAAGATATGCAAGTGAAAAGCAACAAGCTGGCAGAAGAAACATCCAGAGAAGATAGGACTTCAAGTGAACACAGAGAAAACAGAGGTGATGAAGATTCCTAGCCAACATCAACAACAACAACAAAAGACAACAATCAGCCAGCATAAATGGGAGGAACCTAAAAGAAACAGCCTCCTTCACCTACCTGGGGAGCATCGTTTCAACTACAGGCGGAACTGACGAGGATATCGAAGCAAGGATCGGGAAAGCAAGACAAGCTTTCATTACTCTAAAATCTGTGTGGAGGTCAACAGTACTCAGCATGAAAAATAAGATCCGGATTTTCAACTCCAATGTGAAGTCAGTGCTACTATACGGATCAGAGACTTGGCCAGCGAGTCATAAAGAGCATCTCAAACAAACTTCAGACCTTCATTAACAGCTGTCTTCGCTCAATACCACTCAACATCAGATGGCCAGAAAAGATCAGCAACAGGGATCTCTGTGAGCGAACCAATCAGGAACCAATTGTGAAACAAATAGGCAGGAAGAAATGGAGATGGATTGGCTGGCGATACTCTGAGGAAACCATCAAGCGACATCACTAGACAAGCCATTGCTCGAGTGGAATCCGAAAGGGTAGCGGCGAGTTGGTCGCCAGTGCAAGGGTGACTTGGAAGAGGTGATGTGAGGAGGAGATGAAAGCATGTGGACAGACCTGGAGCGGGGTGAAAAAGTTGTCAGAAAACCGAAGGCAATGGAGGTGCGCAGCTGAAGCCCTATGTTCCTCTAGGAACTAAAGGATACAATAATACAATAATAAGGAGTGTATCCGTTGACAAATTTTCAACAATTTTCAACCAATTCACGAAGTTTTCATTCGCCAAATTTTTTCTACATGAACAACCCAGACGCTCAATCTAGATCCATCTATGCCGTCCACACTGATATTAAATAACAATGTGAATTAATGCCTTAATCTGATTTCATCAGTTTTAACGGCAGAACTTAGTTCGTCACTTGACTATTCAATATTCTTAAAGAAAAACATAATGTACTATGTACTACTTAAATATCTTGTCAGTAGTACACATCATACCATGACTAACTTATTACTCTATAATATTTGTGAAGTTTACAAAAGTATGGATACTGAATAAGGAATATTCTTTTCGACAACCCCTTCATCATCAGGCTCTATAGTTATATATCTAAATTAGGAAAGATAATAATACAAATTCATGAATTTATAGTCTCTACTGAAGGCCGGCCAGGGTAGTAGTAGTAGTGGCTGGATGGACTTGTTTCTTTTGCACGCAAAGCACTGGTTATTTGAGGCGAATTGCTATAGCCTCTGCTGTTTGGAGTATGCAATACCTCGATTTTTATCGGCAATTTATTTGTCACCCGGTAGATGATAGATTTGTCTCTCTGTTCTCGATATAAAACTTTGCACCGATGTGCAGCAGTTCAAGTCGCCACACTCTCTCCTTGTAGCACACAAAGCAAGAGAAGAAAGTAGAAGAAATGCATAATAGAGACAGTAAACAGAGGTGTTAGACAAAAGGAATAGTAATAACGAAGAACAACAGAGTTTCATTGGAAGTCATAAGTCATAAGGAGTGAATGCATCTGCGCCATTGAGCCATATCACCGATTGTCTCCTGCCATTGGTTTTCACCGTCCCGAGGACCCCAACCAGCCAGTCAGGAAGTCTACACCTTCCTACATGGCTGGCTTAAACTAACTGTTGTGGATTTCATTGACTGGTACCATGTTACGCTTTGACCGCCGCTAGTTCTTTTCCAGTCTGACCCTATGTCAGCTAAAATTGCCCATCAGTCGAGGAAGGCGATGACTAGGCATGCGTAACACGTGTCCTAACCATCTCAGTGGATGTCGCTTGACAGCCTCGTTGCCTGATTTCCCCTCCTAACCTATCACTCGACGCCTAACCTCAATATCGTTCACCTTACTATACCACTTCACAAGGGAGATAGAACACAGGCACTTATGATCAAAGACAACTAGTTTGTATCTTCATGTCTTCCACTCTCAATGGCCAGGTCTCGCTGACAGCCATGAAGGAGGATGGAGCGAACTGCTGAGCAGTACACACGTCCTTTGGTCGAAAGTCAGCCTGATATCCCGTCTACTAAGCCAGAGATGGCGTAAACTGGCATATGCGAAACTAGACCTCTGTATCCGCATTCTTTAACGTTGGTTTTGTCGCCAACTTGCACAAGATGGCCCAAAATCGAACTGGTAATGGTTTTCACTACACCTTTACTTAGCCTTACTGGGATAATGAATAAATACATCACTGAAATTCGTCTTGTTTAATCTTCAAAACAGAAACTGCTGGTGTCATGATGCTAAGCAAAGGAACTGGTCACTTTACTAGTGACTTAACTTGTTTAATCGATAATTTTTAAAAAAAACCTGACAAAACTCTCACCTTGTTCAGATTTGATAACAAATAAACCAAAAGAATCATGGAGGTTGGGTCTTGAAATTGTTATATGTTTACAGGATAAAGGTTTTGAATTCGAGGACGAAGGCGAACAGGAGGAGGAGGCGGAAATCTTTTCAATGTACTCATCCCCACCTTCATTCTCCTTATCATTCTGAGGTTCGAGTAATCCGGTCATTGATAGCGTTGAAAGACTATTTGAATCAGATAGTCGATTTTTTAAATTTGATGAATTACTTGTTGTGAGCGATATTGATGATGATGAATTTGAATGTCGTAGAACAACATTACACAGACTACTGAATGTACGTCGTGCTGAACGTCTTAATCCCTTGAATAGATCATAATTTTCCAATTTTATAGTTGACTGTGAATTTTTAGTGTTCATGTCATCATGTTCATGTTCATGACATTCATTGTCTGATGATGGTACCGTTGTTGTTGGTGTTAGTGTTGTAGGTGGTGGTGCTGTCGGCATCGTCGTCAACGACAACAGACTTCCAGTACTACTTCGTCGTTTCGAAAATCGTTTCGTGGTACCTATACTCCATCGACTGCATTTTGTTGAAGTAAGATTACCCTTTTTTACAGTCGGTGATGCTGACGATGAATTGGTATCATAACCAAGAAGATTTAGAAGATTCGGTTGAGATTCTGTGGAATTATCATTCCTATTAAGCAAAAAATAAAATCGGACAGTGTTTTCAACAAATTAACAATAATTCAAAATAACGGTGACATGGAGGGGATCGTTTGGGGAGAAGATGAGAGATTATGAGCAATTGTGGAGCCCAAGGGAATATATTCGGTTGAAAATTGCTTCAGCTGTGAAGTAAGCGTTTAGAGAAATGCTGTAATCATCGTATCAACGGCGACATTCGGTTATTTTGCCGAATTTTTCTGTACACAGTTGAAATATTTATTGTGGAGTTTGGTATACATTGCGCGAAAGCGTCACCTTGCGTTTATCCCTATTTCACATGTTTTCAACTAATTAATAATATTCACATGCGTCGGTGGCATAGCGGTTAGGACGCTCGTTGACCATGCACATGGTCTCCGGGGTTTGATCCTCGGCCAACGGACGCACTCCATTACCTCGTTCACTTATCCAGTAATAAAGCTGGTAAAAGAGGAAAGGTTGGTGGCATGAGGCTAGCAGCAACCTCATCCTGTAAAAATAAACACCACTGCTACAGAAACTTTAAGTCTCTAGCTTGAAGCTCCCCTGTGTTCCACTGGGAACGTGAAGGAAAAAGAATAAGAGGTAGGCCAAGTGTGTCTTTGCCAGCGGCGCCTCATATGGTCCGAAGTTCGACCCTAGACTGATGCGCTTCTAAACCCTGCTTAGCCAGTAGTGAGACCAGTAGAAGTGGGGGAGGGGGTAGAAAAGGTGGGAGTGAAGCTGTTAGCCTTATCACCTGGAAAGAAACAGCAATGCTAATTGAAAATCAGTGTTAAAAACTTGAAGCCCTTTGTTTCAATTGGAGCACAAAAAGACAAAGGGTCTGCTTTTAGGGGTTTCATTATAAGAAACTCAAGCAATAACTCAAAAACTACTTGCATTCCAGTGCAACTTGGAATGAGTCCGGTTTAAACCGGGTGACCCGTTATTTAAATATCGAGCGCCTAGACCAGTGTGAGTTACAGTTCCACTTATTACTGAGTAAGCTGAGTACTCAAACTCAGCGAGACGTTTGGAGTAAACACAGGAGTCAGACATGGGTGCTGGCTTATTATCACCAATGATATTCCTAATTGTGGTGGACTGGATTAGGCGTCAGACAGTGGGACAAGAGAAGACAGGGATATTCTGGACTGATGTAAAGAACCTAGAAGACCTGGATTTCGCGCATAGATGATTTATGTTTGATGTCACACAAAATTGAAGACGTACAAGCGAAAACCGACAAACTGATCGAAGAAGCAGCCAGCAAAGACAGGACTCCAGGTGAACATAGACAAGACGGAGGTTATGAAAATAACCAACCAACAACAATAACGGCAGCAACATCCGGCGTCAATCACCATCAACGGGAGGGATTTGAAAGAGATTACTTCATTCATTCACTTATCATCTAGGGAGCATTGTCTCAACTGCAGGTAATCAGAACGGACGAGAATGTCAAATCAAGCGAGAATCGGGAAGGCGAGAAACACATTCATCAACCTGAAACCATTCTGGAAATCTTCGTCACTCAACTCAGCATCAACAACAAAATTCGGTTGGATTTTCAATACAAACAACGTCAAGTCAGTCAGTTCTTCTATACGGATCAGAAACTTGGCGCTTGGCGGCTCAGAAAGAACATTTCCAACAGGCTAACTCAGACCTTTATCAACAGCTGTCTTCGCTCTATACTGAAGATCAGTCAGATGGCCTGCCGGGCCGGAAAGAATCACCAACTATGGGAAACTATGAGAACAAACAAACAAAACAAGAACCAATGGCCAACCAACAAATATGCAGGAGAAAGTGGAGATGGATTGGACACTCTTGGCTGAGGAGGCTGGCCGCTGGGTAACATCGCGTGGGCTTCAGGCCATTGCTCGAGTGGAACCCAAAAGGGAAGCGGCGAGCGGGTAGTCGGTGCAAGGGTGACATGGAGGAGATCGTGTGAAGAGGAGTTGAAACGCATTATGGACTAACATGGATGCATGTGAAAAGTACAGCAGAAGGAAGACAGAAGTGGCAAGTGGAGACGTGCAGTTGAAGCCGTATGTTCCACTAGGCATCCAAGGGAACAATAATAATAATAATGAGTACTCAAAACTACCCTTTTTACAAATGTAGAGGGTATCGTTTGATGATCAGTAGTCAGAAATCATGTATAGTTAGTCTTCGCTAACAGATGGATAAGCTTTACTGTGATAAAAGATGGTTGGAGGCAATCGGCCATAGGAAGCCTTGCCTAAACCGTAGGTTTCGTGCCAGCTGACACTAACTAGTCAGCATGGCGGCTTATCTGGAAGTCAGACTGACAATAGAATTCAGTCTACACCAAAGAATTAGACTGAACACATCACACTAGTTACTGACTAGTGTCCAATCAAAGCTTTATACTGTATGCTTACTGGATAAACAATCTGTTACACTTCACAATGAAGAGAGAAGTTTGGTTTTTCTTTTTTAAATTTGTGATCACAAAATTAATCTTCTTTTGAACAACAATATCACCTAGCCCATTTTATATTATGATGGTCACATGAAACTCAGACAGACAGTCTAAATACACCTCACATTATTAGTTCATGACTTTGTAGACTGATAACTTGTTTATGTCTGGCTGACAAATTTTTTTCTCTTCTCTGAGATTTACTTTTATGACAGGTTTGGTCAAAAACTGACATCAGAGAGTACTGGACAGTTGTTTTGTTCTAGATTGGGACTTTTCAGCATTATGCATGCACAGGGGTTCTAGCCTAGGATCTTCCGATTATAAGGTGTGCTCAAACACACCATTCCTTGACGGGGTTTGAATCCCCCGTGGATGTGTACTGATGAAGAGTCCTAAATTGGGAAGAAACAGTTATTCAGTACTCTTTCAGTAAAATTATTATTGAGTTATTACGGTATATATATATAAGCAATGTGGATATAATCATACCTGTTTCCAAGATCTGAATTGAACATTTCGAAGGTATGGTCAATATTTTGTCGTTTTGCAGGAGTTGGTGTGTCTATAAGAAGAAAAGATAAGAAGTTTTGAATTCCACAATGAAACATAATATTTGAAATATTAAAATTTTAAGTGAGTTATTTTAAATTCTATGCCACAAAACTATGAACTACTACTACTACTACTACTACTATTACTATTGATTTTCGAAGACGGCATATGAGTAGACAGAGAGAGAGAGAGTCTCGAACTCAGAACCCACTGGACATATGTAAATTTGATTGGTTGCAGAATTTCATTATGAGCTGATAGCGGTAGAAGAACCATTGAGAAACCACCAGACAGGGGTTACACGACAAATGTTTCATCAGTACGCACCCACACCCACAGCACTCTGATCACAAGGCTAACGATCTCGTAGAATATTAAGCCAATGAGACCTGATCCAATTGCTAGCCTATGAATTCTAACTTCTACCAATTCATGAGATAGCGCGACCACTTCGAAATGCCTCATCTTCAACCTGGTGTACCCTGTCGGTCACGGCTTCCCATAGATGAGGTCCCAGTTGGTTGTTAATGGTCTACAAGCTACCTCGTCTTGTAACCAAAAGGTCCTGGGTTCGAACCCTGGTGGTGGATTTATACTGTTGGAGAGTCCTAAATTGGGACGAAACAGTTGCCCAGTACTCCCTGCAGGCTTTCTGCTGGTCCCCTAAATGATCTCAGCTCATAGTTAACTCCTCCAACCAATTAATTGGTGATTCTTCACTTTCGTTTCAGAAGAAGACACAATCAGACTCAAACAGGATACAATTACCCGATTCTGAGTTGATGTATGGTTTCACGGGAATCGATAATGAAATCAAACTCGAGATCACAGTATAGACCAATTGAAATTCGATTTCCTCTGTCTATTGGAATAAATTATCTTATATTCTAAGCTATTAGCCGCATATTCTATAAGGACTAATGATGGTACTGATTTGCCCAGACTGAAATGAGGGTAGTGGGGCTTGAATTTAAGACTCATTGGCCTAAAGTTGAATGTTTAGCCAATGAATAACATATCCGCTAGCCAGTATCGTCAATGGAAGATAGAGTCACAACCTCCTGAATATCAGTAAGTCGAATGTAGGATCCAATGCAACATGAAGACCAGTTTGGAGTACAATGGATCAATGCTTTATGTAATACCAATAAATAATAGTGGTTACAGGATTTCATCATGAGCTGACATTCGTTACAGAACCAGCAGAAAACCCTGGAGTACTGGATAAGTGTTTCGTCCTAGTTTTGGACTCTACAGCAGTACTCACTGGGACGTCGTGATCAGTAGAATGCAGCAGGTTAGATGTGAAGACAAATACTCACCACCGATGACACCGGCTAGCAGTTGGGCTCTGTCCTGAATTGGCAAAAGTTAGAAATCATGGGCTGGCCGTTGGATTGGTGGGTTCCAGTGGCTGCTTAATGGTCTACTGGCTCGCTCATCTTATAACCAGAAGATTCTGGGTTCGAACCCTGGCGATGAGTGTGTGGTTCTCTAACCGATTTCAGCTTATGATGAAGTCCTGTAAGCAATCAATCAAATCCCTAAAAAAAAAATCAATACTTGAATAAATAAATTTAAAAAAAAAACAAATTTCAACTTCTGACTACTTACCATCTTTAAAATTCACATATGGATTAATGGATGATATATTTAACGATACACTATCTGCACTAATTCGTCTTCTTACATCAGGATTAGTAAATATAGCAACTCTTTGACGACATTGTAAGATAGTTGGTGATGAATCGATTGATGAAACACTCTCTAATAATCTTAATTCTTTCATTATATTAGATTCCTCCATTTTCCAGTTAGGTAAATGAGTAGTTGAATTGATTTGGTTGTTGGTTACAGTATTTAGGGTATTTGTCACTCTGATAAATGATGGGGACCAAAAACGAGAGAAAAACAAAAGAAAAGATAGATAAAAATTAATGTTTATCTAGCAAAGATGGTGAAATCTCTGAAAGGAATATGATTATACTTGTACATGCCATTTGGTGGTGGTTCAGTGACAGAATACACGCCAACCACACTGCAAGTGTTTCAGAGTTCGATTCTTAACCAACGCCGTCTTGAACCTCACTTAACCGGGAATGAGTACGGGCAAAGAGGGGAGGTTGGGTGTGAAGCTAGCAGCTTCACCCTATAAAAAGATAACGTCACCGCTAGAGAAAGCTGGAGGTCACTGTGTCACTGGGCTAGGGACTATTCCCAACCAACGCACTAAGAAATCCCACCTAACAGGTGATGAACCTAGAAAAGACGGCAGCTAGCAATCACACTTCGTAAAAATAACGAGAACACAAATTCTGAAGCTTCAAAAGTCCCATGTTTCAATCAATAAACAAGAACTGAGAGAATTTAATTGCTGAATGATGACTATGAGTGGAATGCAGGATAACGCGCATTTCTTCACCTACCTGGGACTCGTCAGCTAGTGGAAGATGATATTCCCAGCGAGACTCGAACCCAGTATCCATAGTTTCAAACGCCAAAGCATTATTCACTGGACCACCTGGGCAATAAGAGCCACTACATCTTGTGCAACGGGTCATATTTTAGATTTACCCATCGATTGATTGGACTGAAGTGCTCGATCTCAGGTTGACATCTCAGCTTCTTGTACAGATGCTTCGACAATGTCTGAGCATGTAATTTGAGTTTAACTGGTGGATGGCAACTAGCAGTGGAATCCAGGATGCGCATTTCGTCCTCTACTATTCTATACCTTTCAGAGACTTGTGAAATGCACCACATACACACACATATACGCACACAAACAAAACATCTGCAACAGTCTACTGATTAACACATACTCTCCTCTCTGAAAATCTGAAACCCTGTAATTCCTTCGGAATACACATAACTAAAATAAATTAGGGCTTTTCTATCCAAATCGCTAAGGCTTCGGCAATACAAAGTATACGGAAGCTTGTCGATTTTGGAAGGCTTCTTTTGACTTTATAGATGACTTTGAATGACTTCTCCTTGCAAATCGAATGACCAGTGTTGAGTATATGCTCAATAATGGCGCTCCTTATTGCTCCATTGTTACCTCTCCGTAGCCAGGCGGGATAGTGTTCTTGAACTCTTTTAGATAAAACTCGCATCGAACGACCTATATACCTCGCTCCGCAAGAGCAGGTGAATTGGTAGATACACATGGAAGTGGTCAAATGCGATAGTTTATCTTTAGAGTAGTTGAAGAACAATGGCCGGGAGGAAAATATCAGTCGTAGTGTGGCAGCGAAGAATGTCCTTTTGAGAGCAGTAGATATCCTCTTCTTCAAGGTGTCAGCCAGAAGGTCACCTTTGAAGGGTACATTCATGCAGACCATCTTCTTCTGAACTGTAGTGGGTTTCTCTTTGTAAGTCTTAGGCTTAATATGCTTGTCTATAAATGGCTAGCAGAACTCCTACAACCTGTTAGAGAACGAATTTCAAAACATTCTCTTCGAGATACTTTTGAATTCATCGATTGTATCAAAGATGTTAAAGTGGGAGACAAACGTATGATTTCACTCGACGTCGAGTCTCTCTTTACAAACGTCCCTATCACTGAGACGATTTGTTTTCTATGCAAATACTTGGAAGAAAACAACCTGAATATTGGAATACCTACCACCAAGCTAAAAGAACTCCTACTCAGATGTACCCTAAATGTCCAGTTCACATTCAATGGGAACCTCTATAGACAACAAGATGGCGTGGCGATGGGATCACCTTTGGGTCCGGTGTTGGCTGATATTTTCATGGCAAGTTTGGAAAATGGTCCGCTGAAAGCAACCATCGACAAATTCTTCTTATACAAAAGGTATGTTGATGATACTTTCGTCATCTGCGATAACAATTGTGATCAAAATATGGTTCTTCAATAGTTGCCACCCCGCCATCAAATTTACAATCGAAGTAGAAACCAAAGAGACAATCTCCTTTCTGGACGTTCGTTTAAGTAAGAAGACCGATGGTACCTTGAACAGATCAGTACACAGAAAACCTACATGGAACGGTCAGTTGACAAACTTCTACAGTTGGGTACCAATTAGTCGCAAGCGAAACTTGATAATATCTCTGGCGACTAGAATCCGAAAAATCTGCAGTCCTGAATCAATAGAGGAAGAGATCGCCCTCTTAAGGAAGACACTGCTCGAGAATGGCTACCCACCCCGTTTTATAGACAAGCATATTAAGCCTAAGACTTACAAAGAACAACCCACTACAGTGCAGAAGAAGATGGTCTACATGAATGTACCCTTCAAAGGTGACCTTCTGGCTGACACCTTGAAGAAGAGGATATCTACTGCTCTAAGAAGGACATTCTTCGCTGCCACACTACGACTGACATTTTCCTCCCGGCCATTGTTCTTCAACTACTCTAAAGATAAACTATCGCATTTGACCACTTCCATGTGTATCTACCAATTCACCTGCTCTTGCGGAGCGAGGTATATAGGTCGTTCGATGCGAGTTTTATCTAAAAGAGTTCAAGAACACTATCCCGCCTGGCTACGGAAAGGTAACAATGGAGCAATAAGGAGCGCCATTATTGAGCATGTACTCAACACTGGTCATTCGATTTGCAAGGAGAAGTCATTCAAAGTCATCTATAAAGTTAAAATAAATTAGGCAAAACATCACTACCTCCACATGTTTGCGCATCAATTATAAACACTTCGTTCATCTAATCCATATGACGTAATCCATTAATAAGAAGTCTAGTATCAATAACAGTAATGATATATATTCTTCCCCTCTCCCGACCACGTAGACCCCACTGGTCATAACTTCTCACTAAAACTGCAGGCAACTTCACCCTCTGGCCAATCAGTCACTAGCCGGCACCAGATTAATTTTTAAGAGTTAATTTGTACCGATTCAATTTGTTCCAAGCTTTTGATCACCGACTGATATCCTTCAGAGTATCAGCTTGCCTTGTAATATGAAGGTTTTGGGTTTGAAACCCAGTGGATATGTATTGTTGATGAGGTTCAAACAAGGACGAAACATCTAAATAATATCACTCGGTAATCAAACTTAGAACATATGAAATCTCTACAGACAAATTTTTTTGAAATACATTAATATAATGTTGAAAAGTTGGTTTGCAAAGATTAGATTTGTTTGACCACGGATTGATATCAATTACAGAATCATCGGCATTACGCGCCCAACACAGCCGGTTCGAACCCATGACCTTCCGGTTGCAAAGCAACCTCGTTTACCATTCAGCCACTGCGACCCGTAACCAGTGAGGTCAATCATCCAGACGTCAAGTGTGAGGATGGATGTCCCACCGACGACATGGGTTGGTGCCAGTTGCGCTAAACTGCATCACGAGTCGGTAGAAGTTAGAGTTAACCGGTTGGCCAATGAGTCAGGTCCCAATGGCTGAATGGTATACGAACCAGTTTTCCTTGCAACCTGAAAGTCGTGGATTCGAACTCCATGTGGTAGGTGCGTACTTCCGATAATTCCCAAACTAGGCTGATGAAACAGCTGGCTGTCCAGTACTCTCTGAGGTTGGTTTTCAATGTTTCTCTAACTGATATCAATCCGTGGTCAAACTCGTTAAAAATAATAATAATGATGATGATATAATGATTTTATTCCAAATAATAATCATACAGAGTTGGAATTTTCAGCGTTTCTTACCTACTGCAACAATTTACCTCCTTATATAAAGATATCAATGCATGAAATAGTAGGTAATATAACCACAAATAGAATATGATGAATTATAAGTAAGTAATAATTCTAGTAATTTAACTCAGAGAAAAACTCAGCTATAGTACTGCATGCGCTAACACACAACCACATAATAGGGTGGGAGAGGGTTCCTTTACATTTATTCACTTTCCTCCAGTGGAATATATGTGCCTTCAAGCTAGACGCCTGAAGTTTCTGAAGCAGTGGTGTTTATTTTTACACGATGGGGTTGCTGCTAGCCTCATACCCAAACTTCCCTCTTTACCAGCTTTTTATTACTGGCTTAGTGAGCGAGGTAAGGGAGCGCGTCCGTTGGCCTGGGATCGAACCCCGGACAATGTGCATGGTCAGTGAGCATCCTAATCGCTGTGTCACCGATGCACAAGGAGAGGGTAGGTGGAGAGAGATAGGAATCGATTACAGAATCCCTGGTTCATCGAGTCTACACCCAATACATGCAACAGAAATGACTCAATGCAAATTCCAGAGATGTGGAAGATATTATTACCACCAGTCAATCAGTCAAATCACAGGAGGATAATAAATAATCTTAAATTGTATTCTATTTCAATTCAATTCACGTACATCACAACATTCTAACAAGTTGCTTATTTATTTTGACTATAAAAACACTCGTCTTATTTCCCATCTAATTGTATTTTATTGATCAATAACACTCATATTATTATTATTTCTGAATGTACATTATCTCATATTGATTTTTATTCAATTAAATGTCTAATCATCAATTCCACTCATGTATATAAATGAAGGGAGAAAGTTTTGTGAGTGAGCAGCTTGATATGATTATGAGTGGCAATAATTTGTGCTAGAAGGGTGGTCATCACTTAATATTACTGTGTAATTTATCAAAATAAAATCGTATGCATCTATAATGGAGTTATACTCTACCACCACCCACAGTGCTCAAGTTTTATACTTATATCAATAATTCTGGTTAAAATCTGCAATTTATTTAACTGAAATTCCTGTGTTCACACAAAACCCGTGTCAAAATATGGTATGTTTGGATTTTTATATATTTAATAGCTGTACGAACATAAATGCTTCTTATGAAATGTCTTCTGGTTTTGCCGCCGAAGATATACAAGATGAAGAAAGATTCGAATAGCAAAGAGGCTGTTCGATATCAGACAAGATAACGCTAGCCAACTGCTTACAAGAATGAAAGTGCCTAGCAACACACCAGTAATGCTGCTTACAACCTTCAATGTTCTACGTAATATAACATAATCTCTTTTCTGAGAAGCTCAGGTATGAATAAGGGTAAAGAATACAGAAAAGAATGCGTTAGACGACAGATAAGAGGACAGGTTGAGTAGTTATGTCAGCAGAAAGTTTCAACTTCTTTTTTGATGTAATAAGTCGAACGAAAGGAATTTCTTAGAAATCAACCAGATATGTGATGACCTTGAGGAGATATTCGATTAACTTCGTATCACACAGTACCGCTGATATTACAAGACTGACTCATGGGAGTATTAAAAAGCACAAGTCTTGTTTACGTCCAACAACCAAAAATCAACAGTATAACAATTTATTTTAAAATCGTTTAATCACAGAGCAAAATAGCTTATTGATGAAGCTTCTAACTTTGGTATTGAAATAAGGCAAGTTTACATTTGAAGGGTTGCTATGCCCACCTTATTGATCAGATGCTAATAAGCATGACATTTAGATCCAGTTCTTCCTGTCGATCTGTTGCACTTACCACTTATATATCAGCTAAGTCAACGTATGACTGTCTGACTGGCTAAGTTTCAACCTGGAATTTTACATACCAATACAGCCGTTCAGGTTGTCATGCTGCATGTAATGCACAAAAGGTAGAGAAAGGAGAAGACAAATTCAGAACTATGATGTGCATCGGTGGCACAGTGGTTAGGACTCTCGCCGACCATGCACATGGTCCGAGGTTCGATCCCCTTCCGACACACACCTGATATCTATGGTCAGCCTACAAAATTTGGGCTACCGATATCCATGCTGAAAATTCCATACCTGTTCCAAAATATACGGTGTGGAATCAAGCTGTAATAAAAAATAATAACTATTGGTTAACCTAAGATATCAAAAGTTTTTTCAAATATTGTTTTTTTTTGGGGGGGCGATTTCGATTGAATGACTGATTAGTTGGAGGATTTCATCATGAGCTGATATCAGTTAGAGAACCATTGGATAACCACCAGACAGGGACTACTGCCAGACAGCTGTTTCATCCTAGTTTGGGACTCTTCATCTGTCGCGATATGTCATGAATTGGCAGAAGTTGGAATTATTAATTTAAGTATAAAACTTGGGCACTTTGGCGGTAGAGTATAACTCCATTATGGATAGATAAGATTTCATTCTGATAAATTGTCACACAGTGTTGTTATATAGTGATATTTACTGATGACCACATTTCGAGCACAATTTATTGCCACTCATAATCATATCAAGTCACTCACTCACTCACACAACTTTCTTCCTTCATTTATATACATGAGTGGGATTGATGATTAGACATTTGATTGAATAAAAATCAATATAGGATAATGTACATTCAGAAGTAATAATAATATGAGTGTTATTGATCAATAAAATACAATTAGATGGGAAATAAGACGAGTGTTATGATATTATAATGCACGTGAATGGGAATAGAATACAATTTAAGATTATTTATTATCCTCCTCAAATTTGACTGACTGGTGGTAATAATATCTTCCATGCATATCTCTGGTATTTGCATTGAGTCATTTCTGTTGCATGTGTTGTGTTGGGTGTAGACTCGATGAACCAGTCAGGATTCAGTAATCAATCTCTCTCACTCTCCACCTACATAGATTACTTCTTAGAATCTTAACCCTCTCCCACCCTACTGTGTGGTTGTGCGTTAATGCATGTAGTGCAATTGCTGAGCTTTTTTCTAAATTACTTATCTTATCTATAATGGAGAAGTTCGAATTCATAGGCTGGTCATTGGATCAGATCCCAGTGACTGCCTAATGGTCTACGAGCTAGTTAACCTTGTAATAACAAAATCCTCGGTTCGAATTGTAGTGTTAGGTAAGTATTGACATAAAGAGCTGTTCGGGAGTACTCCCTGCCTGGTGGGTTTTCCAAATGATTCTCTAACTGCTGTCAGCTCATGATGAAATTTTCCAATCAATATACAAAAAAAAATTAATTAATTTTACTTTACTAATCAAGATAACTTACTGTGCCGCCTCAGAGATATTCTTATTTTGTAAAGAATGTCTAGCTTTAATTGGCCGCCTTGTTGACTTCATCATTCCAGTGAGTAATACTTGTCCACTTCTTCGTGAATGTTTACATTTCTCTTGGACTATTTTATTATTATTATTATTATTATTATTCCCTACTCCAGTTGACTGTCGTTCATGTCGTAGAATAGGATATCTTTCTAGCAGACTATTGTTGTTGCTATTATTATTATTATTAATACAACTTTTATTGATTGTATTGTTGATAGAGGATTTGATTTGAGCAGTGTTCACTGATGTATTGCCATTTGGTAAATTAAGATGCTTAGCCTCTCTGTACTGTCGCTGGTTTACTCCCATACGTGGACATATTCGACGACAATGGAAGGTATTTTCACCTGCTGCAGAAATATCAATTAGATGTTGCTTTCCTGTAGACATCATTAGTAATATATAGATATTAATTGCAGAAGGGATGAAATTGTAGACGATGGGAAAAATTTAACACCTAATTAAAAATAAATAAATAAATAAATAAATAAAAATAACTCAATTTATTTTTATTGAATGTAGAAATTCAAGTCTTTGTGATATCTTTGGAAAGAAGATCAAATATCTCCCATTGACACACTTATAAAGATAGTTAGCCTACAGCGATTAATCTATGCATGGATATGTTGTCTGTGAACACATTTCAAAACGATACAATGTGTTAATATAAACGAAAATTAAAAATCTAGAATATCTTTAGTGTTTTCCGGAAAAAGGGAAGAGCTTCAAGAATTGTCGGATCGATGTGCTGATACAATATATGTAATGTGATAAATGCTCATTTCTTTATAACCTTCCAAGAAATTTAAAAAAAACATGATGATGATGGTGGTGGTGGTGGTGGTGGGGTAATTTAGTGACGAATTTGAGAAAATTTAAGGATATTTTCAAGGTTTTAGAGAATAATATTGTATTTCCTCGAAATTGTCCCCATATTTTTCAGTTGGGTTACTCTTGAAGGGCATAAAAATGATGAAATGTTTAGAAATTACTTGGGGTAGTCAGCAATGGATTGATTTTAGAACGGAGGCATCTTTCATTGAGACAGGGGAACCTTTAATTGGACACTAGTTAGTGACTGGTGTAGTATGTCTAGTCGTTTGTTTAATGAAGACTGAATTCTACTAGTCAGGTTGCCAAGAGGTTAATCACGATCTCCAATTGCTCAGGGGTAACTTCGTCTCTGACTGTAGCACTCATTGGATGACGTGGGTTCGAATCTCAGAAGAGACATGAGTTCCTTTAAGATTTCAAATACAATGCCTTGATGACTGACTGACTGACTGATGAATGCCAACTGGTACGAAACCTAGGTCCTGCTGATTACCTTCAACTATCTAATATCAACAAGGGAACCTTTACACCCATTTTATATAGAGGGTCGGTATTAGTATTTATTTTGGTCGGTTGACTGCTTTCTCGAAGACAGATCACTAGTCTAGTGGACAGAATTTAAAAAAAAAGGTAGGTGGTAACACTCACTGACAAATTGACGAATTCTAGAGAGGAAAACACGTAGCTAATCTATTACTTGTCATGTGACACCGAATAGAGATGTCAGTCTCAAGGGGACATTTTCTTTTCCACAATTTCCTTTCCTTGTCTGGAAAATACATATCAGTCCCCATCCCGCCTAACGCCTTAGTCTAATGCTCACCAATAACAAACTACCGGAGAGTGCACCTTGGAATCCTAGCAAGAAGTCGCGCATCAAGAGAAATACTAGCTGACGAGAATGTTTAATAGAATTCATGTATCCGATCCCTAGCAGTGAGATTATTTCTGTGTACTGACTGGTGAAGAGTCCAAGACAAAGGACGAAACGACTGTCTAGTGGTTCTAACTATTGTTAGTCAGCTCATGATATAAATTAATAAATTGAAAGAAATGACTTTTATTCGCCAACACGTCAAATGAATCGATGTGATGGTATTAACCGTATTAACAGAGAAACGTCATACGCTAATTTATGCTGTAATTTATCATGTTGGTCATTAACGCACCTGAAAACTCAACCAGGTAGGTGCTTATATCAAATAAATTATGACTAAAATATTCAATCTCAGCTTTCTAATCCTCATAAATGAAAATATACTTCTTTCTTTATACAATAAAATTAAGAAGCGATATAATTTCGTGGATGGTGACTAGTGGGGGGAATATAGGACAGGTGCATTTCGTCTCAACTAGGACTCATCAACCAGATATTTTTTTATATTTTTGATTATAGCTTGATTCCACACAGCACTTTTAGTACAAGTATGAAATCGAACCCTGGATCATGTACATGGCCGGCGAGAGTCTTAACCACTGTGCCACCGATTTACTTACATTCCCCAATGAGTGATGCTCCTACTGAGAGTCAAATCCACTACCCACCCATCATCTTAAAACACGAAATGCTGTCCACTAGACCACTTGGGCCACGACATCGTTGAACTAACTGTCGACACAGGGTGAACATTCCAGTTCGGAGAATCAATGGGAAAATCAAAACTGACTTAGAAATAAATAATACGAACTTATGGTGTTAAAAAACGGGAATTTTAAAAGAAAAATAAAACAACATTAAACCAATACTATGTATGGTTGACTTACTCAATTTTCCCAAGATGATATAAAATATATCCCCACACAGTGCTTAGTTGATACAGGTTTTAAATCCACAGAAATTAGTTTTAAACACTAAGGTTGAAGAAAATGGCCGTTATTGTTACCTAGCTGAAATATCATGCATATTTATTTATATATATGTGGATAGAAAATAAATTCTCTAAAGATGATTGGTCAGTTTTATTTCTCTGTGGTTGAGATGGGGAAGACAGTGAGGCGTGAAAATGTGTGTGTGTAGCTTTGAATTAATCTGATTGGTTGATTGGTTAAATTTTTCTAGGGGGATTAACAAGTGGGTCAATTCGGGTAGGAATAAGATTATACGTAATGGGGTGGGTGGGGGAGGGGGAATGGAGAGCTAATAGGCAATAGGGTGAGATGACATTATCCAATTAGGTGATTTATAAAACAAAATGCCCAACATGTGAATAGAAATCAAGATAATATTTACAATAGGGTATGATATTACCCATTATAAATCTGATTAATTCAAATTTGATTGCATGGAGGATTTAATCATGAGCTGACATCAGTTAGAGAACCACTGGAAAACCTGGGAGTACTGGACAGCTGTTTCGTCCTAGTTTGGGACTCTTCAGTAGTACGCACCCACCGGGATTCGAACCCAGGACCTTCTGGTTACAAGGCGAGCTCGTAGACCATTGAGCCACTGGGACCCGATCCAATGGTCCTTGAATTCTAACTTCTGCCAATTCAAATTTATTATTTGATAGATGGTAAAAACTAGAGAAAATGTTTCAAGTCTGATAACGGTAGTTACCTGGGGCACAGCAGGTCGGGCGTGAGGACAAATACTTGCCGCCGAAGACACTGGTAAATTGGTAGAAATGGGATTCATGGATCAGGTCGCAGTGGCTGATGAATGGCCTACGAGCTCGCTAGCCTTGTAATCAGAAGGTTCTAGGTTTGGGCCCCCGGTGGATGAGTGCTGTTGAAGAGACTCAAAGTAGGCTGACGAGTCAGCTGTCCAGTACTCCCTGGTAGGTTTTCTGCTGGTTCTTTGACTAATGTCAGTTCATGATGAAATCCTACAGATATCAACAGAAGTTTTATCCTAATTTAGAATTTATGGGCACTACGGACCCGGAGGCACTCAAACCCAGGATCTCTCGGTTGCCAGTCACTCTCGTAGACCATTTAGCCAATGGGAATCGACTTAATGCCCCATGGATTTTAACTTCTACCGATTCGTGAGTATTTGTCCTCACTCCCGACCTGCTGGTGGACCTCAGTGGTCACGATTTCTCACAAGAACGCCGGACAACCTCGTCCTGTAGCTAGTGAGTCACTAGCAAGCATCCAGTACTTTCTGGCTCTCAATGGTTCTCTAACTGATATCAGGCCATGGGCAAACTTGTAAGAATAAAATATGTGCCTGATTGGTTAATGGACTAGCCTCGTAACCTGGATCTCCCAGATTTATCCCCTCCCTCCCCCATAGGGTCATGAGTGTGTATTACTGGAGAATTAGTGTCACACTAGAACCAAGCAACTGTTAAGTTCCCCACGGGTTTTCAGTACTTCTCTAGTTGGTGCCAGCTCGTGATAAAATAGTTTACTTATTTAGATGTCAAACCCCCCAGTTGTACAAATTAAGATGTCTCATGATTAGCTATGATGAAGGCATAAATGATATCGATATTAATGTTGCTAGTGATTACATCCCTTCATCTCCCGCGATACATAGTTGATGTTTAGTCCACTCAATTTGCTTCCTAATATTTCCGAAACTAGTTTGTCTAGTTCAATATAGGATAAGTTTAGTCAACATAACAACACAGAGTAATACAGTATTAATAATAATAATAATAATAATAATAATAATAATAATAGTAACCCGCTTTACTCCAAGACAAACAGTACTTATAAAACAGAATGGAATTCTCAGCATTTGTCACAATATCGCATTTGATTTACTCAAAATGTAAATAAAATTAAAAATTAAAACAAAATTAACCTGAGGAACTTGTCCACATTTACGATATAAAGTCAAAAATATTCGAAGCACGACTTGAGAATATTAAATATAATAATAACAATAACAGTGAGTTTGTTTCAAACAGTATTATCGATAGAGTCAGTTTGGAAATTTTAGCATGTTATTGCAGAGTGTTGAATCTAATGTTCTGTTGATATAGCAGCATGGTGAGGGGAAATACAAAATTAACAGTTACATAACACAGCTTAAATGATGTTGACACTTATGAAAAAATAAACAAATAAAAACAAGAAATTGAGAGGATTATAAGTATCAGAAATACAATAACAATAAAGTTTGATACTGTAAGAGTGGAGGAAATGGTTTATTTAACAGTGCAAAGAAGGTTAGTTAGTCAGTTCATGCCTAACACTATTTTCATCACATAAAGTACGTGCCGTGAAATATGGTATAGTGGAATTTTTATACTTAGACGTACGTGCATAAAGTCTTGTGAAAAGACTTCTTGTTTTACCTGAGGAGGAGGAGACACAAGGTTGGAGCTGTGGGTACTGCAGTGGATGCTCACAGTCTGCCAAAAATCCTTTAGCAAATTTGCTGCATGACATCAAGTGCCTGTCATCAATGACGATGTCAACGATATGGCCGTATGGAATACCACTCATCCTACTGACAGTCAGTCTTCAGAGTTCCACGAAGTATGACATAGTCTTTTCTAAGCAATCCAGGAAAGAATAAGCAAGGGTGAACAGTGAAGAAGAATAGGTAAGGTGCACGAGTTGACAAACTGTGAGCGGAAGAGGGGTTGGGTTATGCCTGAGAGCCTCAACTTCTTCATGTAAAAAGTCAGACGAAATATTCCCTTAGAAATCGCCAAGACATGGGAAGACCAGGATAGGTGAGAAGAAAGAATTAATCCAAGATACTTAACTTCAGACTTGATTTCCATATCAGTATCATCAATTTTGCGACGGTCATAGGAATGATAAACAGCTTCACTTGACTTTAGTTTACACGGGAAACTGAAATTGACAGTCTGACATTTGGAAGGATTTAGTTTAAGGCCGTTAGACGAAGACTATTTGCTGAAGACTCCTGATAGAAAGCTGTTCATCTCGGTACAGTCTAGCTGGGAGTTAACAGTTAACTAACTAGGTGACTTTTTGATAGTAATTTATTGCCCATAATTATCCTATTAATATATATGCTCATTCGGCTTCATAATATGCTGTCCATGTGGTTCTCGAAACGTCATCCGCTTATTGATGTACTGCATCCCCATGTATTATATCAAGTTAACTTATCTAAAATATGGAATTATATTCTACTACACAATACCCACAGTGGTAGTCGACTCAGAGGTATATTGTCGGTGACACCAACCCAGGTGACCTTGGTTTGTCAAACTATCACTGATAATTAGTGAGTGATGGCTAAAGGTGAAGGGAAAGTCAGGATTTTTGCGGAATCAGAATCAGTAACCTCTGAATAGCCATTTCAATGATCTGTGAAATAAATATTATTATTATTGTTCCGTTGGGTTCCTAGTGGAACATAGGGCTTCAACTGCACGTCTCCACTTTCCACTTCTGTCTGTCTTCTGCTGTAGTTTTCACCTGCATCCATTTTAGTCCATACTCTTTCAACTCCTCTTTACACGATCTCCCCATGTCACCCTTTCACTGACGTCCCACTCGCCGCTTCCCATGCTGTCGGGTTCCACTCGAGCAATGGCCTGACGCTCGCGCGATATCACTCAGCGGCCTCCTCAGCTACGAATGTCCAATCCATCTCCACTTTCTCCTGCATATTTGTTGGTTGGCCATTGGTTCTTACTTTGTTTGTTCCCATAATTCCTTGTTAGTGATTCTTTCCGTCCATCTGATCTTCAGTATAGATTCAGAGAAGACAGTTGTTGATTAAGGTGCGCAAAGGTTGGCTGTTGGAAATATTCTTTGTGACCCGCCCTCTAAGTTTCTGATCGGTATAGAAGAGCTGACTGACTTGACGTTGTTTGTATTGAAAATCCTACCGAATTTTGTTGTTGATGCTGAGTTGAGTGACAAAGATTTCCAGATTGGTTTCAGGTTGATGAATGTGTTTCTCGCCTTCCTGAAAAAATAAATAAAATAAATAAATAAAAATAACGATAAACAATATGAAACAATGATATTGATAGAAGTTTATTTAACAGGCATTTATTACTCTGAAGTCTGTGTGGGAGTCTACCACACACTTAACACAATTGAAAGAGGTTTGAATTTTCAACACTCTCATATAAAGAATATTCGGCAACAGTACAGAATAGACAACAGAGTCAAATTATTTAATTGAATTTTAGATTTTCCCGTCGATTGATTGCACCGAAGTGCTCGATCTCAAGTTGACATGTCGGCTTCTTGTGTAAATGTTTCGACGATGTCTGGGCATTTAATTAGAATTTAATCGGTGGATGCTGACTGGCACTGGAATCAATCCGGATGAGCATTTCGTCACCTAGTTGGGACTTGTCAGCTAGTGGATGCAGCTGTACTCCGCAGTGAGTGATGTTCTCACCAAGGCTCGAACCCAGTGTCCATAGTTTCAAATACCAAAGCGTCATCCACTAGACCATTTGGGCCACGAGAGCCAACTCTTGTGAAAAAGGTCATATTAATTATTTAATTGAATTTTAGATTTTCCCGTTGATTGAATGGACCCTAGTACTCGCCAACCGGATGTACTTGCATTCCAGGTGATAAGTCCCAAACAGGACGAAACGTGCATCCTGAATTCCCCTACTAGTCTCCACTCACCTATTAACTTCTAATTACATTCCCAGACATCATCAAAGCATCTGCACAAGAAGCCGACAGACATGTCAACCTGAGACCAAGCACTTCGGTCTCAAATCAATCGATGGGAAAATCTAAAATTAAATTAAATAATTACTAGGCCCTGTTGGACAAGACGTAGTGGCTCTCGTGGCCAAAATGGTCTAGTGGATGTCGCTTTGATATTTGAAACTATGGGCACTGAGTTCAAGCCTCGGTGGGGGAACATCATCACTCACTGCGGAGTACAGGTGCACCCAGTAGCTGACAAGTCCCAAGTAGGTGACGAAATGAGCGTTATCTCGGACTGGATTCCACTGCTAGTTC